GGGGGGGGGGGGTTGTGCCCCCAGATCTGCCCTGAGCATAGCCCGCCCCGCCCCTCCCTGGCCAGATCTGGGGGTCACACATCCCTCCCCCAACCCCACCCCATGCCCTCCTGGACAAGCAGCAGGAGCAGCTGGACAGGCTGCGGCTTTTCCTGCAGCCACCCGGCTCAGCCCTGGAACTGCCTACCTCGCCCCAGCGGGGACAGCCAGGAGCAGGCAGACGAGCTGTGGCTTCTCCCACAGTCATCTGGTGCAGCCCTGGCACTGCCTGTTTTGCCTCGGTGGGGGCAGCTGGGAGAGGAGCCAAACAAGCTGCAGCTTCTCCTGCCACTCATAGCCCCCGCTCCAAGAGCCTGGCACAGTCCCAGCTGGGCAGCATTTGCCCCACCCCCTGGTCGAGCCCCAGCCCCTCTTTCCCCCCCTGCCCCGCAGGGGCCCTGATCTGCCCCCTCCATGGCCCTTTCCTTCCCCCTCCCCTTCTACCGACAGACCTGTATCCATCATTCAGCGTCGTAAAGTTGAAACCCATGTTGGAACTTCGAAACCCAGGTGTCAATTTACAAACGTCGGAACTGCGCTTCGTCGGAACTCAAACCGTCGTAAGTCAAGGACTGCCTGTATCAATATAAAACAGACAATTCTTTAACAAAATTTTACCCTAGCTTTGTTTGCTAAATACTTACCCCAGTTAGAAGGTCTTGGAATGCTTCCAAAAGATTTCCAGGGTCAGGCTTTGGTAAACCGTAAGAAGGAGGGAGTTCCAGAGCTGAGGACAACTGCTGAGAATGGTCTCCCATACGTTTTTTACCAGGCAGACTTGGTGCATTGATGGCACTTGCAGGAGGTTGCTGTCAGCTGACGTTGGGGATCACAATGGTATGTCAGGGAGAACTGGTCCCTTGGGGTATTTATACACATACTTTTTTTCCCAGAACTTGTTGGAGATCCACCGTTTTGGAGCAGATTCGATTAATCTGAGCCCTAATTCGGAGTGATTAATAGAGTCTGCTCCACACATGAGCTGAGGCATGAGTCTGCTCTACACATGTGCTGCGCTGCATGTCTGTGCAGAAAATGGTGGCAATGTGCTTTTGAACTAACACACCTCCGAAGTGTTTTAGTTTAAAAGTGTGCTGCTGCTATTTTCTCAGCGCTGACATGCATTTTGCCACTTATACAAGTGTGAGCATTGCAGTGCTGGACGCTTTTCAAAGTTCCTGGTGCTGCAGTGCTTGCATGGGTAAAAATGCCCATAGGTATTTAGGGCCTTTACAGATCAACACCAGCAGCTTGAATTGTATCTGTAGAGCTATTGGGAGCTCGTGCAGATTCTGGAGCACTGGCATTACATGCTCCTGGCAGCCCACACCCATCAGAAGACACACTGCTGCTTTTGCACTGTTTTCTAGGGTAGCCCCACATAGTGCTTTGCAGTAGTTTAGCTTTGAGGTTAGAAAGGCATGGATGATCATGGCCAGATCTGAATCTAAAAGAAAGGGTTTTGCAGCCAGTTCGCCGGATGGAATTGATGAAAGACGTTCCTAGCCACTGCTGCCACCTGAAGATCCAAATGTAGCAGAATCCAGGAGCACTCAAGGGCTGCAAACCTGAGTGATAAATGGAGGCAGAATCCTATCAACAATAGGTGTTCCAGTCCTGCCCATGTCGCAGCATCACATCTGTCCTGTCTGGGTTCAGTTTCAATTGGTTCACCTGCATCCAATCCTTAACTGCAGCCAGACACTGGGAAAGGACTGAGACTGCAGGGCCCGAGTCAGATGAGAGAGAGAGGTATTGCTGATGGCAGGGAAATTTGAAAGATGATCTCTGTCATATCCTCTATAACTAGCGGATGTTATAAACATTTTTCCAGAGATAGTACAATCTAACAAATGTATGTGGCCAAATCCACATATAACATTTGCTTATCCATTTTTTTTAACTTGGTTATGCTTGTAAGATTGATATAAGAAATTGCTCCTTATCTTTCTAATTCCTCTTTCTCTTGAGGAAAATCATTTTTAAGCATTTTATTTTGGTTTCACATCTCTAAAGATGAAATAATTGTTACTGCTATTGTCAGTCATGTGTGGTGAAGATTTGCTATTTGTGAGGTGTGTTTGTTGACGCAAAGTGTTGTGTTTTATTACTCTTGTCCATTCTTGGAATAACCAATTTCACTGAGTAGAATTATTTCATTTTAAAATTATGGTCTTGTTTGTTTAACTCTCCCTTATTTCAGAGTAAATTAGTTGGTTTGTTTCAGGCACTATTAAGTTTTACTAGTCTGTCTTGTCTAATTCAACAGCTTGAATATTTAGGCAGCTCTCTCAATTTATTTTTTATTTGTTTTGAACTTTAGACTGTGGACATCCATAAAGAGAAGGTGGCTCGCAGGGAGATAGGTATTTTGACAACCAATAAGAATACATCAAGAACTCATAAAATCATAGCACCGGCGAACATGGAGCGTCCTGTAAGGTATATTCGAAAACCGATAGACTACACAGTGCTGGATGATGTGGGCCATGGTGTAAAGGTAAGCACCTGTCTAAACTCTCTAAATGAGATGGGAATTTTAATTTGAGGTTTAGAATATTTAGTGTATCTAACAAGTCTGGAGTGAGACAGAGGTATAACTTGAAATTTTGGTGCCCCAGGTAGAAGGCAGATGGGGTGAGCAAGCATTTACATCTGTCTGCAGGGGCTGCTGCATTGGTGGTGGCAGCAGTGGTGTGGGCTCCCTGGCGTGTGCCATTGTGGCACCCTCTCTGAATTAGCATCTGTGGCTAGTGCATTGTTTCCACAGCCCTCACTCCCTCCAGGTTATGCTGCTGAAGGGAAAAGAGGTGGGTTAGATACAAACATACACAGAGCAGGAACAAGGCAAATTGCACTTAATGTTGAGATGTTGAATAGTAACTGCCACAATCTTGTGACTGCCTGAAGCAATCACAAACCAGGAAACAATGGCTCATGAGCCTGGTAATGAATATTTCGTAACAATTCAGTCATCATCCTGTTCTCAAAAGTCACTGATGAAATGGCAATATTTAAAAATCCCTCTTGAAGTATTCATGTGCACCATCCTGCCCTCTCCTTTCCCCTCCCCTTCCCCTTCATGGAGGGGAAATTAAAAATCTGTGTCATGAGATGCAGGGGAATTGGATGCATAGAGCCTGCTTGGAAGGATCATTTCAAAAGCACATGGGACATTTAGGTACCCAACTTCCAGTGAAAATCAGTGGGAGTTGGACATTTTGCTCCTATTTGTACTTCTGAGGATCTCCACCCATGTCTTTGCCAAACTCCTTTTTTTTTCTACAGTTAGATGGAAGGTAGGGCAGGGGTGGCACTTTAGAAGACTACTTTAAAGGCATAAGCTTTTGCAGGTGACAGCCTACTTAGATAACTAACGCAGCTAACTACCTCTTTTTTAATTAGGTGAGATTAATCAATGTGGTAACTTGTGATCTGTGCATCTTTCTTTGGCTAGTAATAATAACACTTCTTATTTTTCCTGAGCTGGCCTGTGGTCTGTTTAGTTAACTGAAATATTTCCTTGACTTGCATTTAAAAAGCTTTCATTCAGGATCTTGACCAGCACATTTCTTGGACTGCCAGGTAAATCAGCCAAGCAGTAGCATCAGTCTAGTAGTACTGTGCAGTGCTGCTCAGCTTCTAGGACCAGATCTGTGCCTGTGTCAGAGGAGTACTCAGTGTAACTAAAAATAGAGGGTATTGAGCGGATGCCAAAGTGTCCTTTTTAATTGTTGCCTTGGCATTTCTTAGTAATGGCTAGTCCCCAGCATGGGTTAGAAGAATGCTGTCACCTGTATCAGCTGGCAACAGCTTTAAAGCACAGGAATTATTATAGTAGTGCTACATTACATAAGGATTTGTTGACATAGCAGAGACCATTTGGGAGCCAAATCCATAGGTTTAGAGCTGCTTTGCACTGAGAGAATGAATCAAAGCAGCAAACATAGTGTCTGGTACTTGAGCATGAAAGAAATGCTCTGAATGTCCATATAATCAAATCCATTTGATATTATTGAAGGTGAGGGTTTTTTTTGGCTTGTTTTTTTAAATAAAGGGCTGTCATGTGATAGGAAAGGTAGATTGAGTCCATGGGAAGGGTATGTCAGAATCCAATGCCAACCATCTGGACGTAGCATTTTAAATGCTACAGTGATAGATGCTTTAGAAGACCCTAAAATTAAATTCATCGCTCCTAATGTCTGAAGCTGCTGCATTGCTGAGCTGTTCATGTCTTGTATTCTCATAAATAAAGTGTTTGATTAATAGACCCCAGAATTGTTAAACTCGTACTGTTCTGGTTTTTGGCTGTCTCTCTTGGTAACATGCTTCTATTTATTCAGGAAAAATAACCTACAAGTTGACACCGACAATCTTTTTGTTCCCTGACAAATGGCCTACTTTTAAATTGTTCTTTGCAATTATAGGAATATTTGCCATCTGCTAGCCAGTTAGCCTATCCTGGTAATTTGATTGATTATATTTAGAAACTGTCCCTAAAATGAATCCACAAGTTAGATGTAGTGAATTGTAGTATGCTGCATTAACTATATCATGCCGTTATTTCTGCAGTGCCTGCTTGGCTAAGTGCCATCTTTATCAACCCTGCTATATGTGACTGTTGAAAGATGATGCCTTTGGCTCTGCATGAGTCAGTTCATTATCCAAATGCTGAATTTGCCAGCTAATCTGTATACCCCTGTCATTTGAATAAGGCACTGATACCTTCAGTTCCATTAAATGCAGGTGTCAACCTACTCTTTCCTGCAGCTGGGTGTAAGGGAGAGCATCTCTAGGTGACAATAATCAATGCTTGCCCATATATTTTTCTGTCTCTTGTAGCATGTGGCACTGATTTTATTTCTGTAAAGGAGGTTATATGTTCTGCCTTCAGTCTTAAATACAAAAAACCTAGATAGCTTCCCTCTTCCAAAAGCTTTCTACCTCTGGGTCTCAGTCTAATGTCAGTTTTCTTTCTGTAACTAAATTGACAGTCTTGAAACAATTCCTAGTGGGTAGGAGTTGGCACAAATAAATAATGTACAGTATCGGACACAGTATTTTTTGTTCTTAAGGCCCAGTTTTGGTGTGTGTTGAGAGATGGCGAGGAATGGCTCTGTCTAGATTATGGGTGACTTCATTGGTGGCTGATATGGAGAGAGTTGTACTGCAGATTCCTCTCAACTCAGTATGTGGAAAAAGATGAATTGAGGTTTCACTGCTGTTAGCCCTGTACTCTTGACTACAAGTTCTTCCATTTGTTAATGAAAACTGGTTAAGTTTGTATGGGTACTTTCCTGTCCTTGACCGAAAGCCAGCACTGCCACAGACTTACCAGCTGTGTAACCCTGATGGGTCACAGACTCTGCTAATAAAATTGAAATAATACAAGAAATAAGTCATTTGAATAAATATTTACTAAGGCTGCATATGGATGTTCAGGTGACCTGGGAGAATTCTCCTGGGTTTGGTCTTCTGATAGAAAAATATGTCTGGAAATGCCAAACAGACATTTGAATGCTGAGCCCCTGAAGGGTGCAAATTTTGCAGTGCTGATACTGCTCAGCTATGTGCACACATCTTGGTATTATCTGTAGATTCCCTCTGTCTGCCTGGTGACAGATGGCAGCAGTGCACAAGACATTCCTCACTGGCTGACCCAGACTGCTTTGTCAGCCTGTCTCCATGCAGCACAATATGGGATTGTGAAGGGGTTCATGCTCTGTTGAAGTAATAAAATCCAGTTTGAGCATCACACTATTTGGGGCTGGGTGGAAGGGGGAGCAAAGTACCCTGGGATGCAGGAGGACTTTGCTGTGGCTTTTCTCAGAAGGTTAAGTTGTACAGACATTTTCTCTCCCAGGAGAAACTGTCCTGAGAGTGACTTAACCTTGGTTGTTCCCAAGTTTTTTTGTGTGTGTTTGTTTTTTGGAGTGATCATTCTTGCTCTGGGGGAAAGATCCTGGATATCTGTGCACTCATGATTTTTCCTGGGAGAGCAATGACTCTCCCAAGAGAAATGGAATTTCTGTACGTGGCTCAAGTAATGTTCAGATGCCACTTCATTTGTTCTCTAAATGCAAACTTATTACTGTTTAGTGTGATTTAACACTTACGGGTGAGAGAAAAAGAAGAGATGTTAAAAAAAACCGAGGAAGGTAAAAGATGTGGAAAACAGGGACCAGCATATAGGATGAAACACAACCTGTCTAATTTTGTTTTTAGTGGCTTTATGCAAAAAATACTTTAAAAACCCTAACAATATTTAAGCATACTGCAGTTGGTAGCCTTAGAGCTTCTTTTTTTGAAATGTGTAAATAAACTTTGGTTCTTATTTCATCTAAAAAAAAAAAAAAAAACCCTGTAGATTAAACTTGTATTGCAACTCCTCAGAGCAAATGCTTCCTCACATGGAGCCAACAGGCTCTTCACCAAGAGAATGCAAAAATATTATTATACGCACAAAATAAGTTGCCTCAATGCAGCTGACCACACTTTAGTGTCTTATCCAGCTACTTCTCCCTTATGCTGAGGAAGAGGAGCAAAAGTAAATGCATGTAGGGAGGAAGAACTTTTTTTCTGTGAGCAGGGCAACTTTTTGTGCACTTGACCAATGCTCCATTGCAACAGCTGGTCTCTTCAGTATGTTTCCTTCCTGCTGGGGAAATCCCTCTGGGAATTAATGCCACTTCTTGTAGCGCAAACTCTTGCCCACAGTTGCTATTTCATTGCTTAGGAGTAAAAACCTAGTGCATTGTCCTAGCAGAGTTCAGGCAGTGGCATCCTAGATTCTTGTGCGGCTTTGGTGCTGTGTGGGATGCTGGCATCGCGGTGTGGGACAGAACAGTGCGGATATGGCCAAGGATGCACCTACTTATCGTATTTGTGGTTTGTAGGTTAGTGCTGTTTTCAGGTTCTGTCCCCCAACTTTGTTTCATAATAATGCCCTTTATACTCAGGTCCTGCAGGGATAATGGAAATTCCTTTCCTCATTGAGGAAAACTGTTTCCCCGCCTCTGCCCCACTGCACTGTTTTTTACTAAAAAAAAAAAAAAAAAAAAAAAAAAAAAAAAAGGTCAGATATTTTGGTTTTGTGTGTTGTTTTTTAAACAGCTCATTTTAAGATAATGTGCGTCTTAGTGATTCTTGCCCTTTGTTGTGTAAATGGCAGCAAGAATTAATGGACATACAAGCAGTTTGCAAGGCTGCTGCTGGATGTTAAATGGTCGCTCAGTTGTCACCTTCTTGGAATGGGAGTAGAGAAACACAGCTGAAGTCACTCTGGAGAATCAAAACACTGTCTCACCATGAAGAGCTTCTTTGATATATAAAGCCCTTGGTTTTAAATAGTTATTAGACACAACCTTGTTAACAGTTATCTTCTCTTCCTCCTTGTGGAGAAAAATATTGTAGCATCTAAGGAAATAAATAGATCCAAATCTGTGAATTAGCTAAAAGTTTTGTTTTTAAAAATATGGAAACTGAAATAATTGTGCTTGT